TTGGGGCATTCACAACTTCTGGAGGCAAGCTGTTCCACTGATTAATTGTTCTAACTAACTATTAATTGTTCTATCTATTTGGCCTCACAAAAATTGTCTTGGGAGATCCCACAAGATTTCAATTCTCTCCTTTTTTTACTATCCATAGAAAGTCTTTGGGAAGGATCCTACCTGGATTTGAAGTCACTTTCTAACTTTTCTTATCCTTGCTGGAAGCTCAGAGCTGAAGATTGCAAGATGTTTTGCCTAACTGCACATTGTAAAATGTGGTAGACATGGGAGGCAGGTTTGACTTCTAAGATCTGGAACCTCCTGGCAACTGACCCATCAAGAGCAATTAGGGATTTCCATTCATTTAGGTGGGAGGATCATTTAAGGTCAGAGGGATAGATCTTTGCTTTTATCACTTTTTAGTAATTACACACACACAAAGAAGGAACAATTTGCATCTATGTTTGAACACAGACATAATTTGTCTTTAAAATTTAGTCCGCTTTTAAAATATTTAACGGAAACACCGAAGGCCAATAAGAATGATTTTGAGCCATCATCTCTACTTACTGATGCTGAAAATTACACTTCATGCATTTGGACTGAACTCAGCATAGAAATAAAACCACTGGGATAAAGCGTGGCTTATTGTGACTTTTCACATGTCAATGCACAAACATTATCATTCCGTTGGACCCACTGACTTACCTGAGCCAACTTTTTTTCATGGCGCTCTGTTGACTTGCTCCCAATGAAATCATTCTCCAACAAATCTTGCTTGGCAATATACTCCTTCTCAACTTGCATGAACTTGTTATATTGGTCCTTTTTAGTCACACCAGCCAGATAGGAAGGTAAGAACAGGTATTTGTCTTTAAACTCCTTTGTGACACAAAGCCTGCTGTTCTTGAGTCGTCTGCATTTCAACAATCTCATTTCTGGAATGTCCAGCTCCTCTCGTATAAGTTGCCTTGGAAATGTGCTGGCTTCCTCTTCAGGTTTCTCAGGAGCCTCTTTCTTCTGTCGTTTGAAAGCAGCTATATTGAGTGACATGCTTACTGGTGCTCTAAAGCTGGCTGGGTGGACTGGGGACTGATAACCCAATGGGAAAGCAGATTTGGCACGGATAGGCACTGGAGGAGCATCTTTGCTGCTGCTAACTTTTTCCAGCATTCCATAGGGTCCTCCTAGGGCATCCTCTTTGGCAGACAGTAAGGTGGGTTTTTTGGAACTCACCCAATAGTTGTATTTTGCAGATTTATGGGGCTTGAAGAGCTTATTATGGTTTAGGTGGCCTGACACATAGAGCCGAATGTCAGATTTGTGAGCCTTTTCCACATCATCTAAAAGCTCAGTCAGATGGGATTTTTGCTTGCTTTCTGCCATATGAAATGTTAGTTTCTGTACACACAAAGAAAATCATCAGCAAGCACCAAAAGGAAAAACGCATTTCAACATCTTTCATTTTCACCTAGACCAGTGATGGCGAACATTTTGGACGCCGAGTGCCCAAACTGCATGTGCACGCATGGCCAAACTGAAAGGTGTGCATGCATGCACGAGCATGCATGGACGTGTGCTTGCATGAATGTGTGCATGTGCAGATATGCATGGTCATGCAAGGACATGCACAGACATGCGCGCATGCACAGCAGAGACCCAAACACCAGCTGGCAGGTGGCAACCAAGGCATCTCAACACCAGCAAGAGGTAAGATCTTTTTCTTTTGTGAGCTTCTGTTTCGTCATTTGCAGGTTATAATAAGTACACATCATAATAAAATTATATATGGATTCAAATGTTTATTTGAGGAGATATAATTATATTCTTAGAAAATATTCTCCATTCATAGTGGGAATTTTAAGCTCCCTACTTTAAAAAAAATTAACGTGAATTTAATTTTTCAAAATTAACAACCCTCTGCCACTACCAAACCATTATTCTATTGTATGAGGCTTCTATCAGCTAATCACAGTCATTTTGTCAGCATGAATAACCCTTGCTGTTTTGGGAATGTGTGTCTAAAAGTTGTTATATGTCTCTGTAGGCATATCTTCAATTTTGAAATCCTAGATGAATATGCCATCAGACTTTCAAGAGTATGTTCTTTTTCCCAAAAGAGACTCTTCAAGATTTCCTGGGATAATAGCAGTTTTGAGTAATTTGGGGGGGGGGGAGCTCAAGAGCTCCTTTGAAACCTGTGATCAGAACTTTAAGTCCCTTTATCATCTACAAACATATCTGGAAATCAAGAAAAAAATATTCTGCAGAGACTTGCCAATGGACTCACCTTAAATCTGCAGGGATAGGTAGTGTATATTCATAAGCATTTATATCACTTTCTTGATATTAAGCAACTAAACGAACCACCAGAAATGCTTTTTTTGAAGTAAATGTTGATGTGGACTTCTGAGTGGCATGTACCACCTACATTCTAAAAGTGAACAGGACCAGGATTTAAATTAATTTGAGTTTGGTTAATATGATAATCTGGTTATTCTGTATTTAGCTTTGCTCTCCTGTTCTGTCACATTAGATTACTGTTCACAGCAATTTCCGAAGTCTCTCTGGGATTCATACCCAAGACTTTGGAGTAGGTGATGCATGTGATTCTGAAATCACAGATTATATAGTTTTATGGTAAGTCCTTCTAAGAGCCTACTATTCTGCTTGCTGCAATTCTCTAGGCAACCAACTTTAAAAACACTGACTTGGAATAACCAGAATTCTTCAGTTGCTGCTAAATCAGCTTGTAGGTTGTAAGCAGAGGAATTGACTGAATGAGATCAGCTCATTCAGTCATTGAAATATCCAGACACTTTGACAAGAAGCAGCCATCTAAAAATGTCCCTGCTGGTTTTAATATTTATGTCATTTTCAAATTATCTCCCATCATCCTTGACTATTAACCACCCTGGTTGATGCTCATGGGATTTGGATGCCATGGTTATATACAGGCTTCCTAGTGCTGCTTCAATCAACTTGTCAACAGTTTCCGCAATGCTTCTAGGCATGTCACTTCATAAAAAGTGTGTGTGTGTGTGTGTGTGTGTGTGTTTGTGTGTGTGTGTGTGTGTGTGTGTGTGTGTGTTAGCAGCCCAGGTTTGAATCCCAGCAAGGCTAGTTGATGAGAGCTAAATAGCTTGAAATAGATCTATACTAGTTTCCCTTCATTTCTTTATCAGAAATACACACACATACACACACAATATGCATGCATGCATACACACACACACACACACACACACACATATATATATATATATATAAATGAAGAGACAGACATTGCAATATCTGGAATTTAAAATATATTACCCACTTAGCTTTTGTTAGCCTCTGCTAACATCGTCAGAGTGTAAAAACTACACACACACACACACACACACACACACACACGGAGGGAGGAGAGAATATCATCAGTGTTCAACTACTACAATAAATAACAATGTACAACATTGAGAGGTGGGGGTTGCTTTATTTGTGAGTGTGTAGAAATAAGGTTTTAAAAAGTTGCATGCCTCATCAAGCTTTGACACAATATAGCTTATTTTTTCCTAAACATGATTTCCAAAATGAAACAATATGATTTAGAAGAGTACTTCCCAGAATCTAGGAAACCTGTCTCAACGGAATTTTTGGTTTGGATTATTGGTTTTTCCATTGTATCAGTCATTGCTCTAAGCAGCTAGGTAAAATCTCAAAAATAAAGCAAAGCAAAGCAATGTGAAGAGAGATGGGCCAACCCCATCATGAATGGGAACGATAGAGCCTTAACACAACAATCATATCATTTCTTTATTAACATTTAGAAAATGATAAATATGAAAACATGTCAATATATTATTTAATTTCTCTGTTTTATATAAATTCTAGAGCTGGGCCAAAAAACTGAATTTGGTTTTCAACCACTACAATTCACTTCAAAATAACAAATTCAATTCTTGCTAACAGTTTTAGTTACAAGGAAACAGTAAAATTACAGTTGTTTTGTAGCTTCAGCTTTCATGCATTGATCCTACTGGTCCTGAAAAAATACTCATCCATTCCCTCCCCTCAAGATAATCTACAAAAACTACATAAATTAACACTGAGATTCATTTAAACTGAGCCCTAACTTACATTTCACAAGCTCCATAAAGTCTCTGGCATATCTGTTGTTAGCTTGGTATGTAGGCAAGGAAACCAGTCAAACATTCCGAGTTCTGCTTTGTGGCTGTTAAGCAATAGTGCAGGACAGAAACATCTGATTAAATAAACAAAGCTTTCCTAAATATCATGTTTCTGCATGGTAACTTTTCTTCCTAGAGGCATTGCATTTGAAAAATGCAACTTATTTTGTTGCTTGATCATCTGACTGAAACAAATTACTTCACTCAACATGTGATGATGTGTGCATCAGGCAAGGTGAATGACATAAAGAACCAGCCATAGAAATGATTTTAAAAGCAATGATAAAATTGAAGCCTATAGAAACCCCCAAGTTATCTACTACATCACTTGGTTAGCAAAAAAATAACCAACAAAGCATTTGTGAGACATCAAAAATACTTGTTGCTATTATTGATCCAGAGTACAATTTTCTATTTTGGCAAAAATGGATAAATGTGAGTTCTCCTATGACAGTACCTGATCCCAAGAAAATGTAACAAAATATAAAACTTGTGTAGGCATACTCAGCACATAATTACTTCACACATATTATCATATATGGAGAGGATTATATAAATGGAGAGATTATACACATTTTAGTATCCTTTCCCAAGCTGTATAATGTGTAAACTCAACTTCCAGAATTAACCAACTAGTGTGCATCAGTTTAAAGAAATCTGCACAGGTGTGAAAACCTTACAAATGTGCATTTTACTGTATGTTTTATACATTCTGTGAAAGTGTTTCTGATAGAAAGTTTAGAACGCTTGTATTCACACATCTTCCTCTGTTTATCAGGTTACTATAGGGTAGTTTTCATATAACATTTTGAAAACCTTGTTTAGTAATAACATCTTGACTGATCTTGTAAGCTAAGCAGTCTGGGTAAGTATTTGCATGGAGAACTATCTGGGAATTAAAAATACTAGGTTAAAAAAAAACAATCCCAAAGCAAAGCATTAGCAAGCCATTTCTGTACTTATGATAAAACTTCATGGACTCAGTGAATGAATAATATTTGTAAGGGGTAGGTTAAAGATTTAATGCAATGAGGCCACCCAGGGGAGAGGCTGTCAAACCATTGTCTGATATCCCATGTTATTTCCCACGAATGAAGGCAAATATATGTATCCTGGTCAGTCATCAGGATCCGAGTTTTTGTCTTTTAAGCTTTCAAACTTGGCTATGCTAGAGAAAAGTTCCCTGAAGATAGGCTTCAGCACGACTCCAAATGCTCAAAAGACAAAAACTCTGGTCCTGCTGACTGACCCAGATTGGACTCTGCATGTTATTTAACTTTCTACATTCTACTGATGACTATAGGATGCAGGTTCCCAAAAATCTCTGGGAAAACTACAGAGACTACAGCAGAGGCCTAACTGAAAATAAGAAGCTAGTGGCAGAGGGAGATAGAGGGACTAATAACTGAAAGACACAGAACAGAGCCAAGGTAAAAGGAGGTCTTAAAAATCCCCAAACCATTGGTAGAATCTGCACCAGGGAAATTATGTTGGAACAATTGAGATGGGAAAGGTAGCTGACCAAATTATCTAATATTCTGTGTGTTTGTTTACTACTTTGTTTGTCTTTTCCTCCTGCCCTAAACTCATAATAGGCATAATAGATGAAGACCAGCTTGGTAGCCACAATATTAGCTAAGCTCTGATCTTACTCAAACAAAAGTCATATGCTTTTCCTATTGGCCACATGTATCTGCTTCCCAAAGCTGTTCTTTTTTGCCCTGCATGTAGATCAACACACGTGCAGATTATATGTGAACATATTTGAGAGCCCAACATTTTCTCCCTTGCCCTCCCTGCAGAGGCCCATGCTTGTATTAAGCATCAGAAACAATAAATAACAATAAGGAAAACTATGAAAGGGTTTTCTTTTAAAAAAAATCTGTATTCCATAATATTCACAACATTTTATCTATATTTATATATAGATAAGTATTGAATTAAAATTATGAACAGCTCTAAGTATTTTATATATCATACATATATTTATAATTACATATCCACAGAAGATACCTTGCTGCACTACAGCCAGCTGTTAAAGCAGAAATAAATTTCATCCTTGGCTCTCCAGATATGCATATATTCTGACTGTTGGGGTTTTATTCTTTTTTTGCAAATGTATTTACAGTTTACTTAGATCATAATAAATGGTGGTATGCTCTATTATATAAACATAATAAAGATTTGGGTTTGTTTAAAATACAAAGACTGCAAATGAATACATGAAAAAATACATACCAGGTACATTATTTATAATTTATAAATGCAAAGTTAAGACCTCTTAAAATTATTGCACTTGAGTATTTCTTTTTACAGATTTCTCAGCAATCATTCATATATGTACACTTACATCAACATACACATACACACATCCCACTCTTCCCCAACTCCTTGGATATAGTGGACATTGTTGCCTTGAAGTTGAATGTTCCCTGTATAACTTGGATATACACAGATCAAATTTACCACAGACTAATTATGAATGCTTTGAGTGCATGCATTGAGTATACCCTCATATTATAACTGAGCACAGTTTTTGGTCAGCAAGCATAACATTTAGAAGAAAATTATTGTGATGTGTTTTTGTTAGATTGGACTATAAAATTATAATGCAAAATTCTACATAACAGTTAAAGGAATTCATGTTCTCTGAACAAATGTAGTCATCTTATACATGTGACACAATGTGAGAATTACATCGTAATTTCAAATTTCTGCAGAATGATGGAAACTGCATGATTTTGTGCAGGCCTGCTGCATTTTTTCAAAAGAAAAAGTCATACCTATTATTTATAGTTTTAGTGCTGGCTGAACAAACGACTCATACATGCTAATACTATCCAGAAAAAAGAAATGTTTCTGGTTATCTATGTAGAATCGTTGTTCCCGAGCGCCACACCACATGCCTTGTGCCAACTGATTTGTATATTTTGCATCCCTTATTTAAAAATTATAGTAGTGTACTCTTCTAGCAGTTCTAGAGTACAAACTAGACAATAATTACAGTGGAATATTGCTGCCCACTTAAAAGTTTTAACACACCTGTGCAATTTCCACCAAGCAAAATATTTGACATGTTATGTATATTATGTTTTATAAAGGTACCACAGTCAAACATTTCTATAATATGCTTTAAGTTGCTTTACCCCCGATAAGGTAAATATGTGCAACAGTGAAATAAATGCCCAATATGGACATGTTATTTAGAACTTTATCACATTTTACTCAACTTCTGGGAATTCATTAAAATGAAATTTTGTATGATTGCACTAATCTTGGTGTTCATTTCTAGCAATAACCAAATGGTGGGAAAGTGTCTAGGTTAAACACCTTCTCCCAAACTGTGTATAGGATCTTAAGGACAAATAATTCATGAATAGTTTCTTAGAAAATTGTTCTCATTTTGCGAAAGAAATATAAAAATAGAATTCAACAATTTTTCTCTATATTCTTACTGAAAGTATCAAATTATAAGGAGTTCTGATCCAGAGAATGAAGGGAAAAAAAGAAGTTTCTTTACCAAGAAAATTGTGATAATATTTTAAAAAATATTAAGATTTTCTTTTCTCACATCTGTTACAGCTTGTTGAAGATTGTATAGCAGAAAATAATTTATTTTGTTGTTCAACACCAACATTAATACTTGTAATTTACATAGTTGTTATTTTACCTCTATAAATCATAACCAGCATATAGAACTCATTACCTGAAAAGATCCAGGTAATTTAATAAATAAAGATGCAGAAGTATCCTAAGTTGTAGTTTAAACTGAGAACATGACTTGGAACAGCAAATATATTTTCATATAACAAAGTCCCAATTAAAAAGTTATACCTAAGGGTATAACTTCACTAGATATGCAACACATTCGTAAATTTATTCCTGGCAGTATTGTATCTTTGACATACTTTCATATTTTAGTTCTGATGAAGCAGACTATGGGCTGGAGCAATAAACAAATATTAAAGATAATTGAAGCTAAAATCCTATGACCCTAGGAACTGACCCTGGGATGACAGCATTGATGGTTAAGTGTAGAAAATATCCAAAGGGGGTTAACAGGTGCTGAAGAAAATCAATATAGTAAATTAATGTTAGTTCACATTCTGAAAAACAAATATTTGTAGTGGACCGTTGCTGATTGCTTGATGGCTGGCCAGCCTTTTTTCATGATTGTTACAATATACCGCAATCACATGTGCAATGCCTGGGAATAGGGACTATACATGCTACATAACCTATAGGATATGTAGAGTGGGGTAGGCTGAATCAACCAGACCAATCTATCATATGACAAGCTAACGTCCCCAAGTTAAAACTTTTCCTTAGTGCTTTTTTAATACTCTGTTAGCTAGTTCTTATATTGTGTTATCCAACAAACACACATATTGTCTATGTGCATTGTGTATTCATACACACAGTTATTCAGATGAACCAAATACATTAATATTTTGTGTATGCTTGCGTTAATACTTTCTTGGTTGTGCCACATAGTAATATCTGCACAATGATGAAAGTGAGCAAGCTTAATACCATGACGTTTAGGCAAGAGAAAGCTTCCCCCCCCCCCAAGAACCTATACCTTTCAAAATACCTGTTAGGGCACAAAACTAAAACCTACAAATTAGGCATACGCTAAAAGCCCTAGTGTTTTTGTGCAATTATATTTCTAACCAGATTGTGCACATTTATAAATAACAATATTCCGACTAACCATTCCCAACCTCCCATGCTACTAATCTCTTACTCTCATCATTCATCACCATGAGCAACCTTAGCCAGGGCAGCTGGGAGCTATTGTTCAACAAGATCTGGAAGGGTATAGGTTTTCCCATCTCTATTATATGTGCTCAGTTGTAACCCAGGTTCTTTGGATCCTCACCAATAAAATAATCAATTAAAATGACATCGAACTGGCACAGTCTAACTTGTATAATATCATTCATAATTAATCAGCTAAAAATACAATTATATTCCAGAGAGGTAGCCATGGTAATCTTATGCATGAAAAGCAGAAAAGGAACAAACAGTTATTTGTCGACTCCATTATAGGATCCATATCTCAGTTTATAAAATCAACTACCGTATTTTTCGGACTGTAAGACGTATTGGTCTATAAGACGCACCAAGACTTTGAAGAGCTAAGTCAGAAAAAAAAAAAGTTTTTGTTCTCCCCAGCCCCAGGAGCACTCTGCAGGCTTCAGCAGGGCTGTGGGAAGGGAAAAATGACCTGGGTTTTTTTTGCCAAAATGAGGATATTTTTTCCATTCAGCCCAGCTGAAACCTGCAGAGTGCTTCTGGGGAGTGGGGGAAGGTAAAAATGGCTTGGTTTTTCACCAAAACGGGGTCATTTTTTTCCCTTCCCCAGCCCTGCTGAAGCCTGCAGAGTGCTTGTGGGGAGCAGAGGAAGGCAAAAATGCCCCCATTTTTCACCCGTTTTTCACAAAAATTGTATGTGGGGGTGCGGCTTTGGGAGGCCAAAAACAGCTGTATTCGGGGTATAAGACGCACCAACATTTCCATGCTCTTTTAAGGGGGAAGGTGCATCTTATATTCCGAAAAATACAATATTTGCTTTCCATTTCATTTGATTCTTTCAGCATTTGATAGTTATCTTCTGACCATTGTCACATGGTGCCTGAAAGCTTATCGATCCAGTAAATATCTGCATTTGAATAGAATGTTGGAACGGGGAATACAATGGTGATGTGTTGTGTATGTATTGTATGTAAGATTTTGCCAAGAAGGCCTATACGATAGGCCCATTTAAATGCTATATCAAGTATACGAATGAAGCCTACTTCAGCAGGAAGACGCTCCTACCGAGATAGAGAGAAACAAAGAAAGGCAGAGAAAGAGATAAAGAGGGAGAGATTTCCATTCAAGTCAATAGAGGTGTTCACACTGAGGTCAGTGGTGCTAGGATTAAACCTCATGGCTTATTGTTACATTGTCTACAACTAGATTAAGGTTAACATATTTGCAAATATAGTTCTGCAAAGAGGTATAGACATTAGGACTGTACATGCTTCAAACCTAATTTGGAAGAAGTTTTTTGGGGCCTCCTAGGAAGCCAGCTCCTCTCTGCTATCCATTAAAATAACTTTTTTCAAGGTTTTGTGTGAGCCTGGGAGAAAAAAAGGCATTGCCCATTTAAGGAACCAATTTCTTAACCTTAATGCAGCCACAACCTGTTTCAAGTTCCCAAGGAAACTTGAAAAGGAACTATTCTAATTAGTATCAGAGATGCTGTTGCTCATCTAAGGTTTATAACACTTTTTTTTTTCAATTTCTTTCTCTCTACTTCACATTTTCAAGGTGTGTATACAGCCTAACGCATATGGAAATATATCACATAATGAAATTTTGTGCAGAATTGGGGCCAATATCAACACAGACTTCACAGTATGTAAGAGCAATGGTTTAACGTATCTGCTTTCTTGTTCCACAGGCAACAGGTTACAAGACTAGACAATTTGTTTTAAAGGTTTTTGAGTAAATGGAGATTTAAAGTGAAAGGTAGAACAGAGCCCAACTGGTGCTAATGAGCAACACAGAAGCTACTAAGAATATGTAAGTACCATTATGATTTCTGAAGATTATAACTATGTCCGGAAGGTCCTATTTTTTGTGAACTAGCTGGGATTTGAAGGCATCCATCTGTAATATTTGTTTACACAATGACTAGCTTTTCCTGACAGATTTACACTACTACATTTGAAATTCAACCCATTACTCTTACTAGGGTTGAAACGATGGGTTTTCAGGTACCTAATGTGATACTTACAACCAGAGGTAAATATTCTGTTTCCAGGGTAGAAATGGACATTTCCCCTAAATTACAAAATCACTAAAGAAACACTGATATATTTTTCCCAATGTCTAATGGGTGCAATAAAGTAGTTGCTTCATGATGCTTTAGGAGACTAGTATCTGGAAATTAAACCTCCCATTTGAAGCAAGATAAATTCAAGTACTGTAAACTCAGTGATAGTTTCTGCCCCAGAGATTTTCTTCTGGAGTTCAAAGCTCAAACAAAAACATTTACCATATCAGTGTGGAAATGTCCTATTACAGTCTAGAGTTCCCCAGGTGAACCTGGTATTTAAGCCAATCACAGTATTGTGTAATAGTATGCAAAAGTGCCAGTGAAACCTCCTTACCACAAAGACACAATTTAAAACCAAGCCTAGGTTAGCCTTCCCAGCCCAATCATTTTGAAATTAAGGCCTCAGCAAAATAGCCTATTAAAAAGCCAGTCTTTTATATTTACAAGCCGACTTTTGCTTGAATAGTTGGATCTTGTGTTCACATTGTATCACCGAGGAAAAGAAATTTGCACTCAGTCTTCCCACTTTGTATTTGCAGAGTTTATCCTTTTAAAAGGCTAGAAATTGTGGAATAAAAAGCCTTAAATGTGGATCAGTCAACAATCTTCACAGGGAAAGTGTCTGAGTCAGAATTAGTAGTTTGGGAGGGTATCCATCCATAAGCTTCTTCCCCTCGTATCACCTTTTCCCATTGTTTGAGATTTTCCCTGGAGAGAAAGGAAAAATTACTCACTTTTCACATATTTTACTGATGTATCAGTATACAAGAAACATTTATAAAAAGGGATGTCGTGATTTCATCTGATATAAGCTCCTCCTTCACAGAGACAGATTGTGACCTTTGAGCTCTCATATCTGGGCTTTCAATTTGGAGAGAATGGCAACTGTATCATTAATTAAAAGTAAAGGTTCCCCTCGCACATATGTGCTATTCATTCCTGACTCTAAGGGGCGGTGCTCATCTCCATTTCAACGCCAAAGAGCCAGTGCTGTCTGAAGACATCTCCGTGGTCATGTGGCCGGCATGACTAAATGCCGAAGGTGCATGGAA